TTTCGCCCCCCGTGGGCCTCTTGAAACAGTCTGCGAACGTTCTGCCGGTGCGAGAGACCCGCCAGAGGCCTTCTGTAATGTAATTCACGCAATATCACGTGCTCTAATGTTTTTCAACGGAGCTGCTTCCTGGCCTGCGCGGGTCTGGAGCCTGGCTCCCAACGACGCGGCGCGAATTCCAGTTCGCAGAACTTGTGAAACGGCGTTGTGAACGTCTTTGTCTACCTCGTCGCAAAGCGCCACTTGGCTCTACATGATGTTCAATAGTGCCCGTGTGTGCAGTTCTGTATGGCCAGAGAAAGACCCTGAAAAGGTCCCCTGTCCAGCGGCGGGAGAGGGACCCTGAAAAGGCCCCCTCTCCCGCCTGTGCGTTGCCGGAGAGGGGCCCTTAAAAGGCCCCATTGTCCGGCGGCGGGAGGGGGGCCCTGAAAAGGCTCCACATGCGGCCCCAGCGGGGAGGTTCGCATGGCACCGCCGCCGCATTTCGGCGCGCCCCTCGCGCGCTTCGTGGCCCCATAGGGGCCCAAGTGGGAAAGGTCGCACGACGCTGCCGAACCATTTCGGCACTCCCCTCGCACGCTTCGTGAAGGCCGCGATGGGGAAGTTCGCGTGGCACCGCCGCCCAATTGCGGCACACCCCTCGCACGTGTTGCGGCACCATAGGGAGTTCCGCCGAAGGCACCAGTGGAGAAGTTCGCATGGCACCGCCGCCCCATTTCGGCGCACCCCCCACTAGCATCGTGGCCCCATAGGGAGCTCAACCCAAGGCCCCCAAGTGGAAAATTTCGCATGGTGCCGCCGCCAGTTTCGGCGCACCCCTCACACATTTCTTGGCCTCACAAAAAGCTCCGTCACCGCAGGTGGCAGGCGCAACTACGGAACTCACAGCTGCGTATGATTGGGTCCTTCTTCAGGATAATTTTCGCAGCCGTCCTGTGGTGTTGGGTCCTCGTTTTGAGGACAGCGCCCCGCGGTGTTTCCTCTTCCTCGTGTTCCTTCCCCCCATCATCATCATCTTCAGCAGCATCATCATCACCACCATCCCGCCCAGTACAGCGTTTCGTGGCCCCATACGGGGCCCCACCCAAGGCCCCAGTGGGGATGGCCACACGCGCCCACCACGCCCAGCACAGCGGTTCGTGCCCCCGTAGGGAGCAGCTCCACGCAAGGCCCCAGTGGGGGTGGCCACATGCGCCCGCAACACCCACTCAGCGCTTCGAGGCCCCATAGCGAGCTCCGTCCAAGGCCCCAGTGGGAGTGGCCACATGCGTCCGCAACACCCAGCACAGCGCTTCGGGGCCCCATAAGGATCTCCACCCAAGGCCCCAGTGTGGGTGGCCACATGCGCCCGCAACACCCAGTACAGCGTTTCTTGGCCCCATACGGGGCCCCACCAAAGGCCCCAGTGGGGGTGGCCACATGCGCCCGCAACACCCACTACAGCGCTTCGTGCCCCCATCGCGAGCTCCGCCCAAGGCCCCAGTGGGGGAGGCCACCTGCGCCCGCCACACCCAGCACAGCGCTTCGCAGCCCCATAGGGAGCTCCACCCAAAGCCCCAGTGGGGGTGGCCACATGCGTCCGCCACACCCAGTACAGCGCGTCGTGGCCCCATAGGGAGCTCCACGTAAGGCCCGGGGGTGGCCACATGCGTCCGCCACACCCAGAACAGCGCTTCGTGGCCCCATAGGGAGTTCCACAGAAGGACCACAGTGGCACCGCACGCATCCGTCGTCCACCACCCAGTACTGCATTTCGCGGCCCCATTGATTGGGAGCTCCACCAAGCCCCACTGGCACCGCCCGCATGCGTCCCCCCCACCCGGTACAGCGTTTCGTGGCCCCGTAGGGAGCTCCAGTGGCCCGCACGCATGCGACCCCCCACCCAGTGCAGCGTTTCGTGGGCCCATAGGGAGCTCCACCGAAGGCCCCAGTGGCACCGCCCGCATGCTTCCCCCCCTCCCGTGGCCCCATAGAGCTCCACCGAAGGTCCCAGAGGCACCGCCCGCATGCGTCGGCCACCACTCAGGACAGCTTTTCGTGACCCCGTAGGGAGCTCCACAGAAAGACCCCAGCAGCACCGCCCGCATGCGTTTCCCCGAACCAGCACAGCGTTTCGTGGCCTCATCGGGAGCTCCAGCGAGGGGCACCGCCCGCATGCGTCAGCCACACCCAGGACAGCGTTTCGTGGCCCCATAGGGAGCCCCACCGAAGGCCCCAGTGGCACCGCCCGCATGCGTTTCGTGGCCCCATAGGGACCTCCACCGAAAACGGCACCCAGACCGCGTCACTCACAACTGCAGATGATTCGGTTTTTCGCCTGGATAATTCTATAAAGGCGACGGCGGCGACGGGCGGCTGCGCCCGCGAAAGCCGCCAGTCGCCCCGAGCGGCGGCGACGGCGACGGCGACGGGTGGCACCGCCCGCAAAGGCCGCTATGCGCCCCGAGCGACGGCGGCGACGGGCGGCACCGCCCGCAGAAGCCGCCACTCACACCGAGATGGTTAAACCAAGTAAGGACCCTTAAGTGCAAGCACCGATTGGGGAACAGTGATTGGCGTCTTCTTGTTGAGGCCACCGTGGACGCTCTAACTCGCGGCGCCCCCCCCCTCCAGACCCAGGTGGAGGGGGTGGGTGGAGAGGCAAACCCTTCCCGAAGGCCAAGGGATGAGGATGGAAGAGGAGACGCCCACCTCAGCCGAATGGACGGGTGGGACTTGCACCTTGGCGGCACAAGGTTCCAACACTGCACAGTTGATCGCGAAGAGGGCCTCACGCTACTGCGGGAGACCACTTGGGAGATCATAGTGGAGAGCATATGGGAGAGACCAGACCCGAAACAATACGGGAATCCATATTGGACACCAGATTGGATTCCGCACGTCTGACCATATCACACAGCGAAGTCTGAAGCGGCAACCCCGATTGGAACCGTAGCCGCCCTCCCGATTCTAGATGCATGATCAGAATGTGACAGGAAGTCTGACGCGAAAGGTGAACTTTGAACAGGAATCACCTTCCCTTCAAGGAACTGTTCGAAGCTTTACAGACGAGTTCGCGAAGCGGTCAGGCGAGAGGCCCATATTGAACCGTGTCCACCCGTTGAATGTTTGGAGCATTTTCTGCCGAATGTGCGCGCCGCTACAGCGAATGACATTTTGACCTCTCCCATCCGTGTAAATGCTGGAATGTTCCAGCTCCGGGGCGATAAACGTGGAAGATCTCAGGAACGCCCAGCCCGCCCTGTCGAAACGCCTGATGGTAAGACGAGGAGGATGTATTTACAAGGAAAAGGGAGGAGGAGGAGGAGGAGGAGGAGGAGGAGGAGGAGTGGCTGAGGTAGGATGTGACGAAATACACACGCACACACACACACACACACACACACACACACACACACACACGCCTCCGGGAGGAATTTGGAGGGAGGAGGAGGAGCGGAGGCAGGAGGAAGAAGGACAGCATGCGACGAAAGACCCCCAGACATGCGACTTTTTCATGTTTTTAATATACGGCCCCTGGCAGCCCCTACCCTTTTCCTCGGGCCTGTTTTTCATCCCGACTCGCTGTCTGACGGTCCTGGGGTTTAAGTCGGGCGTGTTATATTCAAAAGTAGTCAAAAAATGGTCCGGGGACGATTTGGGAAATCTTTTTGAGCGTTTTTTGAATTTGTGCTGGCTATTTTTTCTGCCTCGTCCCAAACCCCCCTGCATAGGGGACAGGCCCGATCTGATCCTGGGGCTAGGGACGGTCCGCCGTGCTTCTTCACTCGGGCGATCGCAGACACGGATCTCAAGGGTCCCGGTTCCGTGGGAGATCTCGGATTCCCGCCGCCGATCGGGAGCGGAAAAGAGGGGGGTGATGACTAGGGGGGGGGGATATCATGGCGCGGGCCATGATATCTCCCCAGATTTCATGGCGCCCCTTCTTATTTCATTACGTCCCAGGCCCCCCCACTTGGCCGCGCACATGCCGCCGGTCATGATTTGCACCCCCCCCTCTTGGACCCCCCCCTCTTGGCCGCTCCCGAGCCGAACGAGGCGGCATCGGCCGCATTTTGAGGAGGGCACCTGTTCCGTGCACCGTTTCGGCGCTGTCTCGGCGAGGAGCATCCTGGATCATCGAGCAGAACTCAGGCGATCGCAAGCATGGATCAGGGGGGCGTGGATTCGCGACGGGTCCCGCTTCCGTGGGAGATCTCGGCTTTCCGCCGCCGAACGTGGCGGCGCCGGCCGCATTTTGAGGAGGGCACCTCCCCTTGGTATCGCTCGGACGTGTGCCCTTTTTCTCGGCGGGGATTACTTAAGGAGCCTCCTGGATCCTCCTGCGAAAAAAACGCGCACGAGACCGAAGAAAAAAAAACACAGGAAAGGGACGCCCGAGCGATCGGGGATTACTAAGGAGCCTCCTGGATCCTCCTGCGAAGAAAACACCGCGCACGAGACCGAAGAAAAAAAAACACAGGGAAGGGACGCCCGAGCGATCGGGGATTCCTAAGGAGCCTCCTGGATCCTCCTGCGAAGAAAACACCGCGCACGGGACCGAGGAAAAACACAGGGAAGAAGGGACGCCCGAGCGATGGCCCGTCCCCCGATCCCATGGCCTCGGCGACCGCGCGCCCCACGCCCCCGGATCGCCCAGCCCGTGCCCGCGGCGTCCCCCCGGCGGTGCCCGACGCGCTCCCGCCCCTGTCGGGAGGGAAAAAAACACGCAGACACAGCTAATCGTTTCCTCCCTCCTCCCTCCTCCTCAGCATCATCCTCCTCCTCCTCCCTCCTCCTCCTCCTCCTCCTCCTCCTCCTCCTCCTCCTCCTCCTCCTCCTCCTCCTCCTCCTCCCTCCTCCTCGCTCCTCCTCCCTCCTCCAGAAAAGATGGGAAGTGGGGGGGAAGACGGAAGCCCAGAAAGTGTGGGAACATATAGGAAAGCTTCTTATCTGTGTCCATTTGCTTGTGTGTTTCAGGGCCCCTTCACTCTGGGCCCTGCGCGCCCCCCCCCGCCGAGGCCAGGCCCGCCTGGTCTGCGGGCCGCCCCCGGGCTCCGACGCCGCGCGGCTGCCTGGCCTGGCCGGAGCCGCGCCGCCGGGGTGAGGAGACGCTCGGGGCCAGCAAAGGGGGGGGGGGATGCGGTGAGTCTGTCGGAGGTGCAGAGGCCTCCTTGCCCTGGCGCGTCGATCAAGGAATTGGCCGTTTTTCGGTTCGCGAGAGGGCGGCGCGGCTGTCATTTTTGCGGGTCTGGGTCCGTCGGTTTCGGTCCCAGGCCGTTTTCACTAAGGGGAGGTTTACTAAAGGGAGGTTTGTCCACCGCCGAAGATGCTCGGGGGCGGCAAAGAGGGGGGTGATGATTAGTCTAGGCCTCCCAGATGGGGTCGGAGTGGATGGGGTCGGAGGATCTCGCCGCATCGCCGATGCATCGGCGAGGCGGTTCGATGCGGAGCCCGATTTGCTTCACGTCGACATCTCCGATGCATCGCCGACGTCGACGATGCATCGCCAGTGCATCGCCGATGTATCGCCGATGCATCGGCGATACGGCGCGATCCTCCGACCCCATTTACTCCGACACCATCTAGGAGGCCTCTAATTAGGGGGGGGATATCATGGCGTGGACCATGGTATTTCCTCGGATTTCGTGGCGCCTCTTCTCCTTGCCATGCGTCCCCAGCCCCCCCCCTCCCCTGGGCCGCGCACATGCCGCCGGTCATGCTTTGCACCCCCCGCTCTTGGACGCCCCCTCCCCCTCTTGTAGGGGGCCACATGCGAACCCTACCCCTACCCCCCACGATTTCTGGGGGGAGGGTGGGGTTCCCTTCGCTCGGGAGCTCCCAGACGAAGTAAACCCCACCCTCCACCTCAGAAATCGGAGGGGGGATGGTAGGACCTCCTATCTTGGCCGCCCCCACTGTATTCCCCCACTGTATCTGGCCCACTCCAGACCTCCCTCGTGACCCGCCCCTGCTGCCCCCCCCCCCGCCCCTCGAGGAGCACGTCGTTGCATCGACGCGCGTAAGCCTTCGGAGTTCCGCGCTGCTTTCGGCTACGGTGAGGACCTCACATCTCGGCCGCGCCAGGCTTGCATGTGGCCCCCCCTCTTTCGGGGGAGCGTAAGACCCGGGTTTGCCAGGACTCGGGTTCGCTATCGTGTTTTGACGACCGCGCCTCGGATCTTGACGAGGAGGCGTTTCGTGGGATGTCTGCAGCGGGAGGCCTCGTCAAAATGCAGGCTCGGCCTCGTCATTTTTGTTGACGACCTCGTCGGGGAGTTCCGAGCCCCCCGTACCCGGGTCTTACGTCCCCTGATATGGGAACGGAGAGTGGCAGAAACATAAAAACTCGGAGGTCCGCGCGGATTGCTCGGATCCGCGCTGGACCCCCTGGGGGCGCCTCCAGCGCCGCCCAGCCTGGCCTTACGTCCCAGGTCTTACGTCCCCTGACTCCTGGCCGCCCCCGAGGAGACGCCACGGGCCGCCGGCCCGCCCCCGCGGCGCCGGCCCCCCCCCCGCGCGGGCGGCGTTCCGCCCCGCCCGGCCAGAGAAAGGGCTCGCCGGGCAGGAGGTCTCCTTTTCGGGGGCGTCGAGTCTGCACGCCCGAAATGGGTACTGATCGGGCGAAGAGAACTATGCACATGCACTGATCCTGGCAAGGCCCATCCTTGACCCAGGATCGGTGCATATGCCTTCCTGGCCAAGGTAGGAGGGCGTATGCACCGATCCTGGGCTCAGGATGGGCCTGGCCAGAATCGGTGCATGTGCATAGTTCTCTTCCCCCTATACTGAAAGAATGGGTACGATGCCCAACAGCAGCTCTTGTTCATTCTGAGCAGGACTCGCTGTCCACGCCGCCGCGGCCTCTGTCCATTCGCGACAGGAGGTCGCCCGCCCAACAGCGGCCGCTGTCGGTTTGGGACAACATTTGCTGTTGGGCATTGTACCCATTTTTTCGGTGCCCATTTCGGGCGTCCAAATCGAGAGCCAGGCCCCATCCATCGCGCCGTGAGAAAGAAGCACGGCGCGAGGTTTTTTCATGTTTGGGGGGGCCTCCGGGAGCCCTTGCTGGGCCTCGCGACAGTCAAAAATCAGGAGGAAAAGCACAGACACAATGAATCGTCGATTCCCGCGAAAATATGGGAAGATATGGGAAGTGGGGGGAAAGACGAAAACCCAGAAAGTATAGAAAAATATGTGTAATCATTTTATGTGTGTATATTTATTTGTGTGTCCCAGGGCCCCTTCAAAAAAAACAATTCAGGGTGAAAAATCGGTCCCGGGGAAGGAGTCCAGACTTCTGGGTGAAGGTCGGGGGTCGGGGAAGAGGGTGGTGATTCGGTAGCAACTCTTGGAAGCCTTGTATTCTGGGCCTCCCAGATGGGGTCGGAGCAGATGGGGGCGGACCCCGTCTAGGAGGCCTCTAGTCGAAGAGCGGCGCGATCCTCCGACCCCATCTACTCGGAGACCATCTAGGAGGTTTCTAAGGGGGGTGATTCGGTAGCAACTCCTGGGAGCCCTTTATACTCGCAATGCCGTCGCCAGAGTGCACTGGCGTCGAGCAGCGTCTGTGGTAATCGGACAGCGCCGAATTAGCGTCGATTCGCAAGAGCCAGCAAGACTGCACTGGCGGCTCCTATGAGTTGCCACCGAAGGGTGAGGACTAGGTGTGCGCAGAAAGGGTCAGGACTAATTAGGGGTGTGTGGATATCATGCCCAGGCCGTGAAACTCTGGACCTCCAGACGGAGTCCGAGTAGATGGGGTCGGATGATCGCCCCGCATCGCCGATGCATCGGGGATGCCGCTCGATGTGAAGCCCGATCTTCTTCACGCAAACGTCGCCGCTGCACCGCCGATGTCGCCAGCGCCTCGCCAGTACATCGCCGATGCGTCGTCGATGCATCGACCATGCGGCGCGATCCTCCCACCCCGTCTGCTCGGACCCTGTGTGGGAGGCCTCCAGACACCTCCCATCATGGCCCCTTTCTTCGCCTTTTAGTGCACTCCTGGCCACCCCCTTGTCCGTGCGCATGCCCTGGGCCATGCCTCAGGAGGGGAAAAAACACAGACACATTCAATGAATCGACGATTTCTTGGAAAATGTGGGAAAATATGGGAAGTGGGGGGAAGACAAAAACTTAGAAAAAAATAGAAAATATAGGGAATCCTGTCTTTTGTGTATATTTATGTGGGTGTCCGAGGGCCCCTTCAGCCATGCCGCGTTACGGTCGGGCAGTTCGGCGCAGCGTGCCCTTCGCGAACTTGCGCACCAGCTCTCGGTTCTCCAGGTGCTGCTCCGCACGCCGCATTGCGCTGGGCTCGCGTTCACACGACTGATGTTGTCACCTTGTGCGCTTTTTCAGGAGGGAAAGAAACACACCGACACAATTAATCGTCGATTCCCCCGAAAATATGGGAAGATATGGGAAGTGGGGGGGAAGACTAAAACCGAGAAAATATGGAAAAACATTGGAATCCTTTTATTTGTGTGTATTTATTTGTGTGTCCCAGGGCCCCTTTATTCACACAACTAAATGTCACCCTGTGCGCTTCTGCCTGTCACTCCACAGACTGCATTCCCCCTTAATCGTCGATTCCCCCTTCCTCTCAGTCAAGGCCAGTTCGTACCATCCAGAGTCGCTCCGACTGACGGCCCCTGGGCACAAACACGGCGCCTGGCCGAAACACGCACTGGATACCAAGCTCATCTTCCTCCTCCGCAAACGGGGATGGTCCTAGCGAACTGCTCTAGGGACCGGCAAGAGGGTGCATTCTATCGGTCGCTCAAAACCTCGATGCCCGATCCTCCTATCGAATTTCACAATTACGTTCCCGGAGTTTGTTCAGGGATGACGATGATATTCCGCTCGAGACGTTCCCACGTGTTCCACAACAGTGAAGCTATTAGTCGATACATTAGTACACACTGCGCATCTAAGGGAAGGGGGATGACAGCGAAAATGTGCGTATGGAGGGTCAGCGGTCCCTTCCCGCATCCCCACGGAGCCCGTGGTCCTCCTCGACGCTCCAAGGACCCTCTGAGGACTCTCTGAGGATCTTCTCTGACCCTTTCAGGAGCCTCACTGGACCCTCGCAGGAGTATCCCAGCATCCTGATGCTATTGTACGTGCCCCGAGCGGCAAAAATCACAAGTCCTTTCCGGGAAACGGATGCGTGTAGCATACTCGGTGCGTGTTGTCGTGCCAGCGCCTCCAAGTGGCCCCCAACAGCGCCCCGAGGCTGCCGAAGAGGCCCAGGAGAGCCCCAAGAAACCCAAGATGGCCCCAAGATGGCCCCAAGAAACCCAAGATGGTCCCAAGAAACCCAAGATGGCCCCAAGATGGCCCAGGGGGCGCCCAAGACGGCCAGAAGCGCTCCAAGAGGGCTCCGAGAGGCCCAAGGAGGGGCCCCCCCCGGCGCCCCCTGAGCGGCCCCCCGATCGCCTTCGGCGCCCAGCTGGCGGTCTCTCCAACTGGCCCCGTGGAGTCCCCCAAGAAATGCCCAAAGAAGCCCCCAAGATGCCCCTACAGTGAGCGGCTTGAATAAGGAACACTTGCTTTTCAAAAGGGGCTCGGTCGTTCCTTAGGTTTGCATGCGTTGTTTACAGTTCCTTATGCGTTATTTGTTATGTATCGTTCCTTATGCGTTATTCCTTGGGATAAAAAAGGGGCTTCGTTCCTTTGTATCGTTCCTTAGGTCAGGCCGATGCCCCTAGAAGACGCACGCGAGACCCTCACGAGTCCCCCGAGCGGCCCCCGTAGAGACTAAGAAATACTTCTTGCACGCCTCAACTCGAAGGCGCCTCCATTCCAGAAGGTGCACATGCACTAAGTCCGCATCCTCTTCATCCTCCTCCTGCTCAGCCTCCTCCTCATCCTCCTCATCATCATCATCATCATCATCATATTTCTCCTCTTCCTCCTCCTCCTGCTCGTCCTCCTCCTCATCATCAGCATCAGCAGCAGCAGCATCATCGTCATCCCCATCATCATCAGCAGCAGCAGCATCATCAACATCATCATAATCCTCAGCATCCCTCCTCATCCTCCTCCACACATATACATCACCCCTCCTCGTCCTCTTTCGCCTCCTCCTCCTCCATTTCCTCCTCCTCGTCCTCGTCATCTTTCTCCTCCTCCTCCTCCTCCTCCTCCTCCTCTTCCTCCTCCTCCTCCGCCTCCGCCTCCTCCTCCTTCTCCTCCTCCTCCCCCCCCTCCCCCTTCCCCCTCTCCCTCCCCCACCCCTCCCTCCTCTCCCGAGCCGTCTTCTCCCTTATCCCTCCCGCCTTCCTCATTTCTCACTCTCCTCTCTCTCTCTCTGCCTGCTCATCCTCCCTTCTCCTCCTCCTCCTCCTCATCCTCCCCCTCCTCCTCCTCCTCCATTCCTTTTGCCTCATGAATAACTTCTCGCTGTCGCACCCCGAGGCCATATTTTAGGGCGGGCCAGGTGTTTCGCCTGAGACTTCCTCATCACTTATGATTATGAAGCTTAAAGTTGGCAAGGGTTTCACAAACGGAGGGCGGGTGGTTGTCAAAGTGTGGCTCTCGCCTTAGCGTGGCGCACATTCGTTTATTTCATTTGCAAGAGTTTCACGGGTTGAAGGCGGGTCGTTTTCAAAATGGGGTTCTCGTTTTAGCGCGGCGCACATTTTGATCTGCGGGTCGAGAGCGGGCCTCTTCAGGTTGAGAGCTAGGCGGGGCGCGCAAAGCACTGTAGCGCGGCGCACGTTCGTTTCAAACATTTGCAAGAGCTTCCCGGATTGAGGGCGGGTCGTTTTCAAAATGTGGTTCTCGCTTGAGCGCGGCGCACATTCGTTCCAACATTTGCAAGGTTTTCACGGGTTGAGGGCGATTAATTTACAATATGTCGTTCTCGCCTAGGCGCCGCGCCCACTCGATTTAAATGTTGCAAGCGTTTCACGGGTTCCCATCATCAACGTACCAGAAACGGTGCGTTGGAAGGATTCATGATTGTGCGGGTGCAACAGTTACGTTGATTATTTGTGTTGACGTCTTTAGAAATCGCGTTCTGGCGCGATTCCGGAATCAATGGAAATGAACCTCTGTATGGGGCCTATGAAGAGGGAGCTTGGAGGAAGGGTTCACTCCAATATCGTTGATGATCATTGGGTTCACACTGATCCTCCTCCTCGTCCTCCTCCTGCTCCTGCTCCTCCTCATCCTCCTCCTCCTCATCCGCCTCCTCATCATCATCAGCAACATCAGCATCAGCACCATCATCAGCAGCATCGTCAACTCGTCAACATCAGTATCATCATCATCCTCATCATCCTCATCATCCTCATCATCCTCCTTCTCATCCTTCTGCTCCTCATCCTCCTCATCGTCCGTCTCCTCCTCGTCAACCTCCTCATCATCCTCCTCCTCCCCCTCCTCCTCCTTTCCTCATCCTCCTCCTCCTGGTCCTACTCCTCTGCCTCCTCTTCCTCCTCCTCATCCTCCTCTCCTTCCTCCTCCTTCTCCTCCTCCGCCTCCCCCATCATCCCCCTCCTTCTCTTCCTCCTCCTCATCATCCTCTTCGACCT